GACCTGAGCATTCCTCTACGTTATCTATACTATATACACATACATATACGTTATATAGGGAGTATATATCAATTAGACAATGCATGTGCAGGATGTTAAAAAGTTAAGCTAATAATAGAAAGTAATGTGAATTATACTCTGAAAATCCGCGGTATCAGTGGATAATGCACAAACATGTCTTCCTCTTTTTCCCTTTAAGAGCTGAAATATAAAGATCTTTCAATCATAATGGCATATTTTTCAAAGATCATGATTGGCTACTTGGCTATTTGGCTACAAAAGGTCGTAAGTAGAGAACCGATGGTGATTGTACAGCAGGGATGCCGCCTGCCGTAGGGTAAAGACGACTGAGAAAGCTTTCACCCTTTTATTTTCTACTCCTAAAATATTTTGGATATTGTCTTCCCTTAATTAGGATTTTGCCATGGGCGGGGCGCTAAGTCCAAAAGAATGAATAACAATTTAGGTTTAAGTTTTTTTTTAACATTAATTAAGATGAAACTTTGGTTTGAAATCAAAGTTTACTACATCATCAATACTCCGTATATATGAGTACACTAGTTTTTCAATCAATAAAACTTTTTGATTTGCTTGCGTGTAAATTTTTTTGATGAAAATTTATGAGCATGTTTTATATGAAGTGTCGATATTGTCCACAACGTTTTGGCTTGAAATTCAATCTAGAAGTCAAATAAATAAATTATTGAAAACACGGTGTTTTTATGCATATTTTGACGCATTGTAATTCAATAATTTATTTAAATGATATTCTGATTGAATTGTAAGATGAAACTTTATGGACATAATAATCTGTATTTGATGAAAAACATGCTCATCAAACTTAATATTTTTTATCTATTTAGTGTTGGTGTTATAAATTATTGGTTTTGTTGGACAAAAATTTTCTATTATAATTAAATTATAAATTTAATTAATTTCAGGGTGTAATAAAAATGATTTAATCTGGATAGGATAAAGAGAAAAATAGGAAAAGATTAGAGAAAGCGACACATAATAAAAATGTTCAATAAAAAGTTTGTTTGTGTAAAGAAGTCAAATTCTCGACATCCTTCTCGATCAATATGAGAATTCAGAGAAGGTTTAGCTACTGAAAATGAAACGATTCAGAATGACCACATCATTGCAAAGGGGGTTTAAGAGTTGATAATAATAGTGTTAATTCCTAAAACATTGATAAAGGTACAAATAGGACCATTATTGTACAATAGTATAATATTATTGTTTCGGACAGAAATAATTTTACAATTTTTTTATAAATGTCTTGAAATATTATTGTTATTATGCATGTTAATTTAGATAGAAAAGAGAAGACAATGACGTTTATAATTTACTACAAGTACTAGCGAAGAATAAAAGTAATTTATTCAAAAGAATAAAAGTAATTTATAAACGTAATTATAAAATTTATAATTGTTATTACAATTACATATACTAGTGAAGAAGACAATGACGTCATTGTCTTCTTCGCTAGTACTTTATTCAAAATCACTTCAGGATAAAAGCAAAAGCAATCACTATGTGGAATGATGAAGCTTAAGAATGGTGTTGGTATGTAGAATTTTCTTGCTAAATTTAATAATCTCTCCATACAATAAGACTTTATCAATTTTACTTTTTTGTTTCTCCTAAAAATATTATCATTTTCCTTTAAAGCGATTATTTATTTATTTATTTATTTATTTATTTATTTATTTATTTATTTATTTATTTATTTATTTATTTATTTATTTATTTATTTATTTATTTATTTATTTATTTATTTATTTATTTATTTATTTATTTATTTATTTATTTATTTATTTATTTATTTATTTATTTATTTATTTATTTATTTATTTATTTATTTATTTATTTATTAATTTATTTATTTATTTATTTATTTATTTATTTATTTATTTATTTATTTATGTATTTATTTATATTTCTGCTTATATTCTTTGTACAAATCTCAATTATGCAAATTTTATTTTTCTAATTTCACTCATAATTTCAATTTAATAATGTTTATATAAACGTAATTATAATTTTATAATTTACGTTTCTCTGTGTATAAACCTAATTATAAAATTTGTAATTGTAATTAGAAAATTTACAATGACCTTTTATAAACGTAATTATAAAATTTATAATTTACTACAAGTACTAGCGAAGAAGACAATGACGTTTCTCTGTGCATAAATTTTATAATTACGTTTATACACAGAGAAACGTCATTGTCTTCTTCGCTAGTACTCCAGTGGCTATATGTTCTACTCTCATGGACGCAGACATCCCTTAATCCAGCTAATTTATTACCGAAATCTTTTCTTCTCTTTGTTATTTGGGGAACACTCCAAAACTTCCCGCTCAAATAAAGCATCGATACTTCCAGCCGGATTTCATCAACGGGTGACTAAGGAATTGGTCAATTAATTTGTGAAATCACATCACAATATCATCCGATTCAAAGGGTGGAGGGTAAATCTTTACTCCTGGTTTCAAGAGAAAAAGAATACTCATTAAGTCATCGACATCAAACCACAACCTTACCCCCACATCTTCAAGGTCAGAAGCTTGATTGGCCGGAAGGGGACGCCAAAGCTCACATCTTCAAACCGGAGGTTCGAATTGAATGGAAGGACATGACGGAGGCACTCACATCTTCAAGGTCGACGTTCCTATGAAAGAGGTTGAAGCTGACGGTGCATATGATAGACATGGCGTGTAACGACCTCTCTGTGAAGAGAAGGGTGGGGGTATTTTAGATTTTTAATGGATTTATTTAGCATTATAAACATCCTCAAACTTATTTACGAAAAAATCCAGAAGCAATTAAAAGCACCCTAGGACCAACTTTTAGTTTTTGGCTTTAAAGTGATTTTTTAAGCAGAAGTTGGTGTTTGAAAAAACCAATTTCAACTTTTTCTAAGTCAAAAGCTGAAAAGTGTTTTTTTAATCTTTCACAAACACAGCCTAAGTTGAACTAATAATTCGATTATGATAAAACTAAAAGGGAGTACGGAGTAGTTATAAGGATGTTTTTACTTGGACTGTAATCCGTTCCAGACCAGATTAGACCAGGCTTGAATAGTTATAAAAATACAAAGAGACGGGACATTACCAGACCAGACCAGCAAATTACAGCCGAAGTAAAAACATCCTAAGTATATATGTAATGCAGAGTATAAATGGCTAAACTACTATTCTACTCATGGCCGGTCCTCTCCAGTTTTGGGTCTATGGGAGATATACTAATTTGGGCTTATTTCCAAGACACACGCTAAATTATACTTACTTGAAATACGGATTACAATGTATAATAAAAGTATAAAACTATGGGAATCACCCTAAATAGGATTAAAAACATTTGTATATTCCAAAATAAGAGTATTATATTTTTATTCTCTATATATGAGTAATTACTGTCATGTTTGGCAGTATCAGACTTTAAACATGACAGTATTTTCTAAACTTCGCAGTAATTATTCATATTTGGAGAATAAAAACATGATAGTCCTATTTTGGAATTCTCAAATATTTTTTTACTCCTATGTTTCGGTAGTTCTTCCAACTATCTAATGAAGGTTATAAAATAAAGATGAAATTCACTTGTTGGAATTACACATTTGGACAAAAGTAACAACACAAGTATCACAAAAGAACATTGTGAAGTGAAGTCATCAATAATTGTTTTACAATCAATCTTTTCCAAGATCTCAGGTTGAATGCTTAAAATTGCCAATCGATTAAGCTATTTAGACTTAATCGATTTTGAGAATTGGGCGAAGCTAGCAGCCCAAAGACACTAGTATAAATTGGTAATTTTGTGATTAAAAGGAATTAAAAGCCTTAAAGACTAAATCGATGTGAAGAGATATGCTTTTATTGATTCACCAACAAATGTGTTGAATTACTTACTTAAAAATCAAAATTAAAAGTATATTCTTTTTTGAAACTTGTCTGGCTTTGATCAAGACTTTTTACTGATGCTTTAAAATTTTCAAATTTTCAACAAAAATTACACATTAAGCCTAAATAAATAATTGAATTTATAAATAAAAAAGAAGCTTACTCAAATTACATATAAAGAAAAAAATTTGCGCCTATTCTTCTTTCTATTTTTTTCGGGCCTAGGGCGGTCGCCCTTGCTGCCCTCCCCCAAGGGTCGGCCCTGATTCTACTAGAGTGAAGGTTGGCCCAAAGGCCCAATTGCCGCTAAATGGGTTGTAATTTGTAAACGTGCATGGATCGTTGCACAAGTCTAATAGTCAAGAAATTCAAGAGATAGTAATTTATCTTGCAGCTTATTTTTAAAAAGGGAAATTGCTTAAATAGGAGCAAATGAGGTTTAAAATTTTAAAGCAGGACTACTTCGTTTCTCTTCCATGATTGAAAAATACTGTCATTAACTATAATAAATATTGTCATGTTACATGCACTGTACCATAACTATTTGACATACACGTCTATAAGATGACAATAAACACAGACATGTTACTCGTATTTCGGGAATAAAAACATAGTAGTCTTATTTTGGAATTTCAAACTCCATTTACTCCTATTTTGGGAAATCTAATGACAATTCATCTCACAAGTAATAATTATATATTCCGTAGTATAAACGATTAAATGAGCATTTATAACTAACAAAAAATGGTCAAGTACCTTGTGATCTGATGATATCCTTTGACACTTCCAAAGAAATTACATGTTGGAATCTTATTCCAATTTAAGGATGTCGACCTCAACAAAAAACACATTATAAAAATAGATTAGAAAACTATGAAAAAAAGCTTAAAAATAAATGTTACCATTCCGAAGTGTCCTAAAAAGTAAAAACCCGGCCCATCCTGGGTGACCGGACTCCATTTTCTGACCCTGCCGGCACTTTGGGGTGGGTAAGTGATCGGTTTTTGTCCTCCTCTTGAATCGAGTAGGATTATCGTGGCTTATACGGAGTACTCCGAAATAATTATCACATCTCTTTTCTGTCTGATGAATGCCGTGTAAGGACTAGGGATCAGCCATGGAACAGCCAAAGGCAAAAAAGAGGCAGCTTGACGTCGCGCACCTGCAGAGCACTCCTTACTTCAAGATGCGAGCCATAGTTAAAGAACTTCGACCCCATATCATTCAGGTACACCCATTTTCATAACAAGTTCTGAAACTGTTCACATTTTTCAAATGAATTTTGGAGGATGCTTTCAATTCTTTTGGGCGATTTTTGGACTTGTTAGATTGTGTTAATTGATTAATTCGTTGAAAAACCGCTCACCCATAGAGTATCTAATAAGATTTATCTTATTTTACTGACAAAAGAAAAAAGATATGAATGAGATGTAGTACAGCAGGAAAATATCATTTTTTAGTAAATTCGGCAGATGGTTAAACTCTTCCCTTTGGTCTACTTAGGCTTTGTTCGGATTCGAGATTTTGAGGATGGAAGCGGCAGGGTGGGATGAAATTGGGTTTACTAATTTATCGTTTCTTAGTGTGATAGTTTCATATCACAAATTAGGCCTTTCCTTAGTTTTTTTTTTTTTACCCCGGAAGGCAAACCACCCCATCCAGTGGGGCAAATGACAGGGAACATTTGCCATTATTTTATTTGAGACCAGAGCGTACAAAAAGGAGGAGAGGGGGACAACACCAAAACCTCTCCCGAAGTATCATCCCCTTCAAAATACATGATAACGAATAGGAAATGAATCAAAAGCAGAGTGACTAATAAATAACATAGGGAACCGCTTCTGCATCAAGCTTTAAAGCCCCTCCAATACTGCTCGGAATTAAATCTCCCTGCCTCCATACCAGCCCCAAACCAGCAACCTTCTCAACTGTGTTGTTAGCTTAGGCCTTTCCTTAGTTAAATAATGTATCTCACAATATAACTACTCACCCCCACCCTCTTAAATTTACCAATCATACAAGGGTTGAGACATTATTCAAAAAGGAATTTACATATACATATATACTTGTGGTGATTAAGTTCAAGGCCATCGCTGTAATTTTAGTTCTTTATTCAGTGGATATCTTGAAAAAATGTTCTTTAAGCTTTCTGTATCTTAGTTAGGTTGATTATATTCCAGCTCAGGGTCACATGTTCATTTCAGCAACAGAATTCTCTCTTTCATCTAATTATTGCACTAGAAACGTTTATTTAAATGTAATCCCATAAATGGTACTGATGAATTTCTTACTGTTTCTTTCTTACGTTGAAGGTTCTGCGTACTCCTGACTTCCGCAATTGCAAGGCAGCTACTGAAATTCGTCAAGGTAAGATTTAGAAGACATTTTACTACAATAACTCTTTTGCACATCAGGGCTTGTTTTGTTGAGGAATTTCTGAGAGAGGATTGATATTTTTTATTACTACAAAATAACTACTCCGTACTTCTTAGGGGTCCATTTGAAGCTTGAAAATGCTAAGGAAAGATAACATGTAGGAAGTATATTAGTACAGAAAATGTGAGATAAAATAAAGCAATTTTCCAAGCTCAATTTAATTATATCAAATTTGATTAATTTGATATAATTCGTTTTTATTTCTCTTATTATTTAAAGACAAATAAATGTAAAAAATGTTTTCAAAACACATAAGTTAAATATCTTTTTTCTTATAATCTTATTTGTAGTGAAACTAAACATTGGAGGACAATTTTCCCTACGACTTTCATTCCTTTACCCAACACTTTCCGCAAACCAAACATGGCCGAATGTTTAGTTAAACTATGTAGTCTACATAAGTTTCTGTGAGATTCATATCTAAGATGTTTGTGTGATTTCATCTTTATGCTATTTGAGAAAACAGATGTATTAATATTTTGCACTATAACGTGTCCTAGTTCATTTTGCATTAGAAGAAATGCATCATTTGCAGTCACTAATTTCATTACACCTCTGTTTGGTAAAGTTTTAGTAATGGTAGATTTTATCAGGGTTTTTATGAACACTAGCTGATAAGTAATGAGATACTTACAGACATCTATCAGTTTATTAAGTATATGTTTGATATGAGGATTTGACATCAAGATGCAAGTTACTTTTGGCTTTATCTTCTTACCATAGTATCTATGACCAAAAATTGCATCTCTTTGAGATCTAATATTTTGACATTCAAGATTTGGTGTACTTGTTGTTTCAAAGAAAAAAATTCTGCTAAAGGTACAAACTCTCTTACAAAAACTCTTACAAAAGAGGCATGTGACAACATCATATTGTTTAACACAGCGCACCACTTTTGTATTACAGGTGATTAATGATTACAATAGGCACATCACCTTTTCGTAATTTTTTTTGTAAGTTTGTTAGTACTAAAGCATCCCCCCCCCAAAAAAAAAACTGGATACATGACACTCTGATGGTTCGACCTTTTCCGCACCCTTCTCTATGTGATGACGCTTTGTGTAGCGGGCTGCTATGATTAGGAGAGGAGAGAAAGTGATCCCTTCTAAGCTTCTTAAATAGCTTATTTAGTTATGTTAGTTTTCAGAAGTACACGACACTAGCGTGTTCTCCTCCTAAAGTATGAGTCATACTTCATTCAGGAAATTGATAGTCTCCGGTTCGAAGCAATAGGGTCTGTTTGGAACCCAGGATGCTAGGCGGAAAACTGTAACGAAGAAAAAACTCTGGAGAAATAAAAGATAAGATCAAATTCAATAAATTTAATTTTAATGCTCGTTCAAGCTCTTCTTGGATACTCCGTATTATTTTGTATTAAATAAAGACTAAGAAGTCTAAATAAATGTAATAATAACAAAAAAACGAATTTCCTCTTTTGTATTCCAAGGTAAACAAACAAATAGAAACAACTTTCGTATTTATCCCATAATCCCTGTCATATTCCAAGATCTACCACACATCCTAAGGTTTTACTTGTATTTTTTGCTGGTGTGCTCATACACACCTGAGGAGTTGGGTTGGGGGACTTGGGGCAGGGGTTAGCGGGCTTCCATATATTTGAAGCCCATACAATGAAATGAAGTTGTGAGATATAAGAGTAATTGTTTTTTTCTCAATGCACATCATTTTTTCTTTTGTAAGCCTTTTCACATGCTAGGAAAAATTATATGGATAATTACTTTTTACTTCTAATTCGGGTCATCCACCTGTCTTAGTCCGGACCCCTATCTTATGTGTGTTTAATAAAATGTTTGATGCACAGAGCTGAATGTTCTGATGGATCTGTGCAAAGAGATGGCAGCACAAAGGGCAACAGCACCAACTCAATCTAAGAATGGAGCTGAGGGGCTGAAGCCCAGCAGCGTTACAAACCAGAATATGAAATCTGCAGAGAAGCCTCCGGCTCCCTCAGAGAGGCCCGCATCATTAATGAAGCCTTGTGATGATAAGGGGGTGACCTCCTCAGGAAGTCTATCCCTAAAACCACGCACGGTTGATGCCATTGCCAATGGGACATATATAGTTGGCGGGTCCGCATTTGGCTGGAATTTCATAGTCTATCCCGGAGATGCAATGGTGTACTATGGCAGAACAAAAGAGTCATTCAGGTCTTCAAACCCTAAATCTCAATGAACGATTCTTTGTCATCACCATGATGAAGGATGATGTGAGCGAAAAATTAGGTATTGTTAATAGACCTCTATTTATGAAACTGGTTATGACATATGTTTTCGTTATTGATTTCTACGGTTTAATTTTGCACTGATCTACTTTTTGGAAGGATACTAGTACCTTACCCGTGCATCCGCACGGGTTGTAACTGTTTTGTATGTCAATTATAATTGATTGTAAATTAGTTTCTTTACATATAAAACAAAGTCTTTCAATGTTTAAAACAAAAGATATGGCATGATCACACTTCACATTACTATATAAATGTGAAGTTTCAGTAAGAACAAAACAATAAATTAAGAACCACAGTGAAAAACCTGCTTTGGAGATCTATTTGATAAATTAAAAAGAAAACAAATAGAAATAGTTGCTCATAAAATAGTATGTAGTATGTTGATTTTGCCGAGCAACTTCTGTTTCGATGATATCACTGTGCCACTCTCATGGAGGAGTTCACAGGTTGAAACTCATCCCATTAAAAGGATGTTGACATTTAACCGAACATATATACTATAATATGTGACAAAGTACTCAAAAAAAATAGTTAACCACAAAAGAAAATTATTCCGTTTGAGGATATAAAATATTTACAGAAGGAAATACATATAGATGAAATGGACCATTATTTTGGTTACTATAATATTATGAAAGTTATAAATTTATATTTTCATGAAAATATTTTAAAAAAGAACACTTTTATATTATAAATAACTTACAATATATATTTGTTCAAAGTTTAAAGATCAAAATTTTTCGAGACATAAGTAGTAGGAAAGTGTTAGACTATTTTATTTAGACTATTTTATTACATTTATACTCTCAACTCTTCTCCAATGTGGTTTTAGTGCCTACTTTCCTGTTTTGCTTTCATTTCCCCATGCTTTCTTTTGCGTTCAAATCTTTCACTCACAAGTCCACATATGTATAACATACTTTTTCGGGAGTCAGAACAGACGACAGGTCCTACCATGTCAACCTAACACTCTGACAGGGTCATTACTTTTAAAAAAAATTATTATATTTTAATTCTATTTAGGAATATTCTCTAACCACAAAATATTTGACTACATTAAAACCTCCAAATAAATGAAAGAAGTCATTGTGAAACAAAGTTAAATATACACTTCTTTTGTTTAGATATAGACCGGTTTTCATTATAAATGAGCTCAAAAATATTCCTTTATCCCAAGTGTACCTAAAAATGTATAACCCTTTACTATATAAGGGAAATAAAGCATGTATAACTCATGAAGATTCCGAGTAAAAGGATAACAAAACAGAACAACGTGAGATTAGAAGCTTCTGCATGCATCCTACTCTATTTAGAAAAAATATTTTCTTTCAAGCTTAGTGCACATATTTTTTTTTTTTGCAAAGCTTCCTAACCTAGTATAATGTATGTATCATGTTAAGGCTAACATCCTGAGATGAAATTCCAACTTTATATAATGAGATCTTTATTAGTAAAATTCCAAATATTTACAAACTGATATAAAAAACTAAAATACTTGTTCATGGAGAATGTGAAAAAAGTCTTCTTTCACCCCTTCATCTCGTGATGAGGAATACAAATTTCACATACAAATAAGAGTTAATAAATCCTGAGGCAGAAAATAAGAGATAAGTTTATCCCACTGTTTGTTACAAAACCTGCAAAAAAAAGATTAAACCATCATAAATAGATTCAAGGATAAGGTGATATTAACATTATTACTATCAAACTACGACTATCTAGCAACCATACTCGCCTATTCAACTTAAACAATTCTCACAATCCATAAAGTTTTCAATCAATTCTTTGGTCGTGGCCAAGTGGTACTCTGCATTGAGGACTTGAGATACCCAAAGATCTTTGAAAAAACTGAACATATAATGAGAATAATAGGGTAAGAAAAATGAAGTTAAAAAACTAAAATGAAATGATATGGATGAGATTGCACAGATCTGTTGTAGAACACTACTTGAAGTCATAAGAATTGAAAAAAGGAGAGGTACCTCTAAATGATTGGAAACTACAATTTCATAATTTCATACATAAAAGATATAAAGAAAGACAAAAATCTGCACATATATTTTAGGAAGGATTCAAGGATGGTTAAGAAAAGGAATTCATGTTTCATATGAAAAGAGCCAGCAAGAAAGCATTAGACGCTACTAAATGTAAAAAATATCAAGCACTAATAGGAGCATTAAACTTAAAGAGGAGATTATGGAAGCCATATCAAGAGAGAATAAATGTGCCTTTTCCCCTAGTTTTCATCTTCTTAATGTTTGTTTTTTCTTGTCCTAAATCTTTAATTGAATAATATTGGAATGACATGTTTCAATTATTGTATTTGAGTGTTTGGTAACACTGACTTACCCAAATAAACCTTCTTTTTTATTTTTCCGTAGTTCACTTTCTTAATTGGAGTTTTTAACATTTACTGAGACAGATAGATGTAAATCCTAGCATACTTGAAGAGTTTATTTGTCACGTATCCCATTTCACTAAGCTTTTCAGAAAGAAGGAAAACCAAGAAAATCTAAGAAATTGCATAGAGTTTTTTTATGGAAAAGTGATGGAAGACTTCTCCATGTCTGATACTATTACACAGCTACTCAACAATAGTAATACGAACACAGAACACTTGACAATGGTAACACTTTAGTTATAATACAGAAACAACTCACTATGCACATTTAAACTAATATAGGATCACTTCTAAATGTGTTTAAGAATGTTTAAAAAGAAAGTATGAGAATGACTTATACATTAATTACCTGGTATCCATTACACACTCTTATAAACTTCAGAAAGGTTCTTATAGCCTTATAGGTTCTTAAGAAAGGTTCTTATAGCCTTATAAACTTGAGAAAGGTTCATATAAAAAAGCAGGCATATGGCATCTTGGTTCATTGATATCAACTCTTTTTTTTGTTTACTTGGGGTAAGATTCTTGAGCACATAGAAACAGATGAAATGTCACCCAAGATTGTGAAACGGGGAATTAAAGAGTACCTCTGCTACTTCGGCACCCCAAATTTTGTGCAAGCAAAGCTGTGTTGATGTGGTAGAAAAGTAAACCTAACACATAAATACATATAAAACTGGAAAGAAGCAATATTGTTTTAAATAATTGGCATTCAATTATCTTAGAAAATCATCTTCATGACCTGCAGTAGAGTTGTTTAATAGAGCCAGACAATATTATTCCGTAATCTAGAGAACAATGAATTGGAGAAATGAAGAATTAGGTTAGAGAAAGTACCTGTGCTACTCGGGCAGTAGAAGTATGAAGCCCTAATGTCGATCGACATCTATATATATAGTGGCTGTGTTATACTGTTATTTGGAGGTCTCATACGTTGGCTGAAAGAGCTGGGCACTATATTATCGGATTTATCGCCTATGATTGGAGATGGAGAAACCTATATGCAAGCAATCATCCCGAAAAAAACGCAGGGCGAGATGAGTGCGGAAGATTTTTTGATGGAAAGAGGAAGCGTTTTTTTGGGATGATGAAGCAGTGGCCTTTTCGTCGTGAACATCACGCTTACAGAACAGGAAGCCACGTGGCCGTAAGAGGTGAAGGGCGTAAAAACGGGAGAGGCAAGCATGTAGGATTTGAGAGGGATAGAAATGTCTTTTAAAGAGCTATCTCCTTTCTTATATATAATAATAAATAGATAATGGAAACATCAAAAGTAAAAAAAATTAGCTTTTAAAAAAATTGTAAAGTCAAAGTGAGAATTTGTTTGAAAACCCGAAGGTATAAAAGTTTTCTAACTTAATGAAGCCCTTGAAAACTACATTCTGCTCCGTTCTATTAAAAACAGTTGAAAGGTAGTTAAAGTTTCAAACTAACTTAATGAGGCCCTTGAAAGTATTCTAACTCACGGGTCAAGAGCTGGTACAAGGCTAAATTGATCTATTTTTTAAATAAGCGTACTTATATGATAAAGTGGGAATAAAATAGGAATGAATTAGACCCACACAAATGTTATCAAATATGATAAAATGCGTACGTATCAGACACCCATTAAACTAGATCAAGCATTGACAGAATGACGGGGCCACTCATGTTAAAAACGTGTAGGTATATATGTGTAAATTAGGTATAATTATTTATTACACTTTAAAATTTGTAGTTCTGAAAAGCATTGACCATCCAAAACTCAAATTCCAAATCCGCCACTGAGATCAGGCCAAAGTTTTAGTCAATTAAGTCTTTTATAGCTTCTTTACCGCCAAACTAGAAAATTTGAGTTCAATTAAAACATCATAATTTCAATCTTTTATAGCTTCTTATTTAAAATGTCACTTATTAAGTCTTTTTTGTGAATTGTCATTTATCTAAACTTTTTGTCTTATTTCGAATGTTTCTAGTTACGAGTAATTTATGTTGCATTAACACACATTTATTTTTTAACGGTGTCAGCTAATATTTGTCATCTTTTACGCCTTCGGTTCTATCAGGTTACAATTTCTCAATGTATATACTTATTTTACGGTTTTGAAAAGTGAAATGAAAAACAAAAGAAATTTGGAAAACATGTGTTTAAACTTTAAACTTGAAATTTGGAAAATGAAAAACTGAAAACAGAAAATAAAATGACTTTTCCTTGAATATTACCAAATTTAAACTGATTTCCAAAAATGTGACCATTTTTGAAAAATGACAAAAATGTGACTAAGAAGTAGGAGTGGGATTTTGGAACTGGGAACCGTTAAATCGGTTGGAACCGAACCGTTAAAACCCGGTTCAGTTCGGTTCCTACAAATATGGTATTAGTTGTTAACGGTTCGGTTTCTGGTTCCTATAAAAAATATGTGCGCGGAACCGTTAAAGAACCGTTATTAAAAATAATAAAAATAAAAATATTAGTAGTAGGAGTAGTAGTAACGAACAATAACAATAATAATAATAATAAAAACAACAACAACAACAACAACAACAACAATATCAACAATAACAATACTAGCCATCACCAAAAATAACAATTAACAATAGTACAACCAATGATATATAGTCAACAATTCTAATTTAATCAACGACAACAGAAGTAATTAATATTGCACATGAGATTGAACACGTTAAGCTTATTTTCACAAAACAAGTTTTGTTCCATCGCATAAATTTTATCAACATAAAATAACTCAGATAACTTGTAGTTGATTGCATATATTTTACCTTTTCATCTTCATGATATTTGTAACTATTAGATTTATTGTAAATATACAACTAGCAAGTAGAATGTAAT